GAACCAAAACCAAAATGTGTCCTAAACATTCACCCGATACTTTTTGCAATGCAGTTACAAGGTTGGTTCTTATTTGGCTGTTTCTATTTTCCTCTTTTACCTCATACATTTCATGTATACTGAATTATTAACTACCTGTGTTTTGCTAACTCATTTCTACATTTCAAGCATTGACAATTTGAATGTATTGTTTGTTCTTTTTCCCAAAGGTATTTGTTCTTGCATGTTTTCTTCATCATTTCTAGAATGTTAATTGGTGTTTTCTATTATTTGCAATAATATTTTTTCTTTATACTATTTGTCTATTTGTCTTATATCTAAGAAACTAAAATAATCATTTTATGGCATTTGAAAAGATAACAGACCTGACTTATATGACTAAGTTTTTATTTTGAACTTTTGTTGCAAAAAAAAAACATCTTTCAGAAGAAATATTATGAAATTTTAAACTTATAGAGAATGATGTATTGATGGTTTGCCTGCAACTTCTGTAGTTGTTGTCTCAAGATTGAAGGCTCTTTTTGCCAGAACTGTCAAGTAAACAATAAATGTTAGTTTATTTAGAATATTAGAAAATTTATAATCTTAATTCCCATGGAAAGAAAGTAATATGCATTTTAATAACATGATGTGAAAATGATGATATGACAGTAATAAGACAATTTCCTTAGCTTTTAAAGAGGCTTCATCATTGTACAATGAAACAATCTGAATTGAAATAGCTTAACACAAAAGCCAATCTTTTTTTTTTTTTTTTGGGTTAATGAAAGGATTAAAGGTTATTCATAATCTACTGCTATCTTCTAATAAATTGATTATGGCCTCGTTAGTTAGTAATAGAAATCTTTCTTTTTTTTTGTAATCTTGTTAAAGTTCCAGAAGTGAACTCTAACATATAGTATATAAAAGTGCATTTGCATATTGTATTGCTTTACATGTTCTTGGCATTCTGTTCTATTCATTTACTTGAATGCAATAAAAAAAAGTCAAAATTAACCTAAGAGAGCTTACCTCAACAAAATAGAAAATCTTAAGATTGAAGCTTCTTTTGCTAGACCTATCAAGTAAACAGTAAATGTTAGTCTATTTAGAACATAAGAAAATTTGTAATCTTAATTCCCATGGAAAGAAAGCAATGTGCATTTTAATAAAATGTTGTGAAAATGATGATATGACAATAATAAGATAGTTTCCTTAGCTTTTAAATAGGCTTCATCATTGTACAATGAAACAATCTGAATTGAAATAGCTTAATATGAAAGCCAATCTATTGTATATCTTTCTTTTCTTTTTTTTTAATTTTTGGGTTAATGAAAGGATTAAATATTATTCATAATCTACTGCTATCTTTTAATAAATTGATTATGACCTCATCAGTTAGTAATAGAATTTTTGCTTTTTTTGTAATCTTGTTGAAGTTCTATAAATGATCTCTAACATACGGTATATAAAAGCTCATTTGCATGTTATTTTGCTTTACATGTTCTTGGCATTATGTTCTATTTATTTATTTAAGTGCAATAAAAAAAAGTCAAAATTAAACTAAGAGAGCTTACCTTAACAAAATAGAAAATCTCAAGATTAGAGCCTCTTTTTGCAAGAACTGTCAAGTAAACAGTAAGTGTTAGTTTACTTAGAACATAAGAAAATTTGTAATCTTAATTCCCAGAAAAAAAGCAATATGCATTTTAATAACATGATGTGAAAATGATGATATGACAATAATAATATAATTTCCTTAGCTTTTAAAGAGGCTTCATCATTGTACAATGAAACAATCTAAATTGAAATAGCTTAATATGAAAGCCAATCTATTGTATATTTTTTCTTTTTTTATTTTCATTTTTGGGTTAATGAAAGGATTAAAGGTTATTCATAATCTGCAGCTATCTTCTAATAAATTGATTATGGCCTCATCAATTAGCAACAGAAATCTTCTTTTGTAAGCTTGTTCAAGTTCCAGAAGTGATCTCTAACATATAGTATATAAAAGCTCATTTGCATGTTGTATTGCTTTATATGTTCTTGGCATTCTGTTCTATTCATTTACTTAAGTGCAAAAAAAAAAAATCAAAATTAAACTAAGAGAGCTTACCTCAACAAAATAGAAAAGAAAAAATAAATCCAACTTAAATGGAAGAGTAATAAAAGAGTAATACTAAAGTCTGTGAGAAGATGGAATGTTGTTTGAAAAATAAGTTGAATGGAAAGACGGTAAAGAATCAAGCTTTATAATTTTATTTAATCCATAAATATATTTAAATAATAATTTTATCTATTTAATTATCGTATATTTAAATTGATTTTTCATTTAAATCTTGATAAACTTTAATCCATAAATATATTTAAATAATAAATTTTTCTATAGATAATATCTAATTAGATAATAATATTTAAATTTTGGTATTTTATACCTTTATCTAATAGTTTTTTTGTCGTTTTACATCTTGACTCTATTCACAACAAATATCTTGAAAAATTTCTATTGCTAACATTTTTATTGTAAAGGTATGACAAAGTTTAGAATATAACTGGATTCTTGATAACTAATTTCTCAAACATATTATAAATTTAGACCATAAAATATTCCTGCAATCATATTGACTAAAAAGTGTAGAAAATATATATCAATTTTGTTTAGTTGCACATGAAAGGCTTAAAAGATGTTGTAAGTGTGGAAGTGTCATTGATATATGTGGCTTTATTTTATTATTTTAATTTTGGAAATTATGCACTTGTCTTTTCATTAAGTTGAACTGGTCCACTAATTGCCAGACAAATAATTCCCAATTTGTAACATAGAAAATAATCTCGTCTTCATTTTTGTCAAGGTATATATGATTGTGTTAGGACATGTGTTTGGTTATATATATATTACAATTTCTTTATGAAATATATTTAAAAGTTGAAAATAATGTAATAAGTATTTATCAAAAATATTAAAGATATTAAATAATATTTTTAAAAGTTGTGATAAATTTAAATACTCATGTTAATTGTAAATAAATTAAAAAAGATAAATTTTTTAAATTGATTTTAAATTAAGATAAAATGATGTACAAAATAAAAGAATTTCATTAGAATTTAAATTGATTTTTGATTAAATTTTAAAATTTTAGACAATTTAATAATTTTTAAAATATATTTTTATAAATAATTTAAAATTAATAAATATCTTATGTATCATAATAATAAAAAATTTTAAGGATTATCTTACGTGTCGAAAAAAAAAACTATCCACATAAGCCTCCACGTCAGCAATTACTATCTAGTAACTATATATGTTGTAATATAATATAATATAAATATATATATATATATATATGATTTGAGTTTTAAGTGTTTTTAGTTGTTCTAGATTTAAACCTTTTTCATATATATTTTATTTTTTATATTTTTATTTTTCTAAATTTTTTAAAATTTCTAAAAATACAAAAATTTTCTATCATTTTGAATCGGTTAAATTGAGAACCAAAAAGACAACCAATTCAATCTTTGGCCCAATTTATTAAAACATGAGTATGAATCCATTTTTAATTGATTAATAACATTTAAAATTAAAAGAAAAATTATTTTAAATCTTCCAAGTTGATATGACGGTTCTCCTAAGGTGTCTTTAGGAAAAGCGTAGTCTAGAGAAAAGGTTCAGATACCTTTGATTGTATTAAAAAAAAATTAAAATTATCTATTTGCTCTAAATGATTTTGCTAAATGGATGAATTAAATATACAGTTTTTTGCTATTTATTTCTTTGAAAAACTTTTGAGAACGTTAAAAGAAAATAAAGGAGACTCCATAGTAATAAAAGATAAAACTATATATTAAGGGATAATGTTTATGGTTGTGTATGTATGAAGAATTATTTTGAGTTTAAGAATACTCATAGATTAAGTTGAAATTGATTTATGTTTGGTGAGTATTCGTTTGGATTGGGTTGTTTTCAAGACTTGAAAATTATATTTGTAGCTTGAATTATATGGAAAAAATATGCCATCCATGAAACCATTATAATTTCACAAGTAGAAAAAAGACTTACGATAAAAGAGCTTTTCCAACTTTCAAATAATGTATATATATCTTTTAATAACGCCAACAAGAAATTATAGTTGCTCCAACCTAGATCTATTGAAGTCGACACTTTCAATTGCGTAAGAGAAAGAAAGCCCTTCAAAGGAACCTATTTGACTAGTGAAAAAAGCATGAAGGAAGTCTCAAGTTTGGATTGAACCAAAGCAATGTGGCTTATAACAGCTTTCAACAACCTTTCCTTTCCCATAGGCATATGAAGGGAAAGCTCTCTCTTTGATAGGTCAGCTTCTTTCACTACCTCCGCTGCTACAATTGCTTCAGCGAGTTAGCTGCTGTCGGTATTGGAAAATAAACAAAATTTTGGTTAAGATTTTTAAGACTTGGTCTGACCTGCGAGAATATTTAGTATTAAATATTTAATTTTAAAATATATTTAAAATTGTTAAAAATGTTAAATATTTAAATATTAAATTTAAATTATATGATATAAATGAGTTTTCATAAGCAAATTTAGTTGAGCCTTTAAAAAAGTTTTTGAAATAAAATTCAGAAGTTAATTCAGTTTATATAATTGTTTTGAAAGATATTATTTAATAAATTTAAAATTTAATATATATAATTTTTTCATATCCAAATTATAATTCTTTTATATAAAAAAAATTTTAAAGTGAAATCGAAGGTTTATTCGACCCATGAATATCTCCGATCGTCTCCAACCCATTGTTTAATAGGTTATTTCAGTCATTTGCAAACCTTATCCCTCGCGGGGAAAAACAAAATATCCCACATGATATGACCGTTAAAGGTTCAAATTTCAAAACCCTATCACAAATCTCATTTAAGACTGTTAAAAACGTCTTCCAAAGAGAAAAGAAAAAGAGTAAACCAGAGACAAGAACCCATGAAACCCCGGCTGAGTGCATCATCATCTTCAGTGAAATCAACCACCACCACTATGGAAGATGATATCCATGGTGAAACCAGAGACAGCTGCTATTACCCTGGATGCAGAAAAGACGCCAATTGCAACTGTGAAATTTGTTTGGCCAGCATCAATGCTACTTTTGATCTCATGCCCTGTTAGCGTCCAAAACAGCTCCTTCACTAAACTCTCAGCTTTGAAGCCTAACTTTGTAGACCGCACTCCAATTTCTTTCGATCCTTGGACTATATCAACACCCAAGTCGAGTTTTTGTCGCGTGGTAGAGTCTCCAGCTCTGCAATCAACCGCCAGATTAAATTTGAGAGAGAAGGAGAAGAAGAAGGGAAAAAAGGGTAGTTTTGAAATGGCATTTTGGATGTTTTTATTGGGTTTGAGCTTGGTTTTTGGAATGGAGATTGGGTTTTTGATGGGGTACTAAAGCCAGCTTTGACAAGGGATATTGTGAGAAGCATTGGTGAGAGAGCTTCGATTGTGCCAGATTTGGATGGAAATTTGAGGTTCTTACAACATGAGTTGAAGCGATTTGTTAATGGAAAGGTTTCAAATTGCAGCAATACGGATTCTATATGGGAAATTGATAAGGTTTAAAAAAAAATTTTTGATTTTACTGAGAACTTGTTCTGGCAATTTTGATATGTTCGAAAACTACTGTGCGAGGAGTTGATATATGCCTGGGTTAATTGCAGGGTAGTTTGCTCCTGAATTCGCGTTGTATATTGTACAAATCAGCCATGGAAGAGGTCAGGATTTGGGGATGGCCTTTGCAAACGGCAGGATTGCTTACAACTGGATTTTCTTCCAGATCATTTCTCATCTTATCTGGCAGAGTAACAGAAGTAAACGCCATCTTTATTTTCTTTATGACAAAAACAAAAAACTTATTTAGGTTCAATTTTATTGTTACCTTTGCTGCTTGCTTTTGATTACTGTTAGTAGGTAAGTTTTAAACGTAATATTAATGTAATTATAGTATCATAATATATAATATTAATGTAATTATGTAGTTAACCTAATATTAAGAATTATGATAGTATAATTAAAACAATATTTAGAACGACAATATAATTATGGTGTGATTCTCTTTTTAAGTAGTGAGAATTTCTAGTTATATAGGACACCTCTTTATTTATAGTCTTTTCTCTCTCAGGTGAATGAAGAAATACTTTTTTCCTACTAGTGGGATTTGTCTTTTGCTTGTGGAAATAAGAAAATAAAAAATCTTGAAAATTGAAATTTTGATATTTGTGAATAGCAAAATACACGATTTTTAACTTTCATATGATAAAATTTTGTTTAAATATGTGATACATTTTAGTTAAAAAGGATTTTATTCTTCTTACCTTTACGTTTTAATAATTGCTGAAGAAACAGAAATTTAGTAGCAGTATAAACAACAAGCAGATTGAACCTGCTAGATAATTGTTTAACAATTTTTTGTCCTTCATGTTTTGGTTTCGCAGTGGTCTAATGGAAAGGTTGGGTTTCTAGCAAGAAAGGCAAATGCTTCGTGGGTGCAAAGGAAATGGGGTGCCTCTGTCATACAATTGGATCCTAATACATGGATTATTGAGTATCGGCAGAGCTCAGTGCTTGAAAATCCAAGATTAATTTCAGCAACATTGGAGCTGTTGAAATATAGGTTGACAAGAATGGTAAGGAAGGTGACTGAAGAATTTTGGTTGTTCTCTTCTTTTGAAAACCAATACAGTGAATTTGCAGGAAAGGAACAATTTAAGATCCCAACTTAGAGAGAATCTCTGGATATCAGTTATTAGATTGATCAACATATTTTGCTCTAGCAGATATCAACTTCTCATTTCTTATGAGATTTGTTTCTTTATTTCTTAAATTTGATTCTATGTAAAACTTTACAAATGAATCATTATTAAACCAATAACACACTATCACTTTCTTTTGCTAGAGCCTTTAGAAGATTAATTTGTTTTTTCTTTTCTATTAGAGTTAAAAGTGTCCTATTAGAGGTAAAGATAAATAATTGATTTTGAAATTTAATTTATTTATGTAATAAATCATAATGTCTAATGGAAAACAATTTCATTAACAAAGTTTTGATCCTTTGGCATCGCTCCTCTTTTTGATAGTGAAATTGGGAACTAATTGTAATAAGTAAATGATCTTGTATTTAATCAATAAGGGATTGATTCGATCCATAATTTTCTTTGTCTTGGAGCAAATGATTTTGAATTTAAATTTTATTCATCGTCATTATCTTAAATGCCCAATTTTTATGGATTAAAAGGTTTTTTTTATATGAAAAAATAATGCAATCTAAAAATAGAAAAAAAATTGTTACAAAAGATTAGAATTTGAATCCTAAGCCTATAAATTTCAGAAATGACTAATAGATATCTTGTAATATGTCTATATATCTTGTTATGTAGTATGTCTATTAGTGAATCAAAATAAAATACATTTTGGCCTATAGCCAAAACATGTATGACTTTTGAACAGTCTCCAATCTAAATGCCAATGAGATTAAAAACATTTATTTGAAATAAGGAACAAATTAAGAATAAATGAAAGATACAAAGCCAAACCGAATTGCTTAAGTGGTGTAAATCTTTAACAAAAAATGCCTTAAATCTTCTAAGCATGCTATTACATATTATAATTATGATAGCAAAATACCAGATGATGTATAACCCAACGCATCTTTGATCAGCGAATTCCTTCGTAATACATGCGATCATGGCGACGCTTTCATCCGCATGCAAGCCAAATACGAAGGATTGTGGGGATTTTCAGAGTCGGAGATAGATGTGGCTCGACAGCTGATTAGACTTTGTAGCGACAACGATAACATTGACGAAAAAACTTTGGATTGGAATTGGAAAAATATGACAAATGATGGAAGAATGGAGTAGGAGCCCTGACAACACAGCCCATTTATGGCCATTATGGGAAGTTTGGTAAAACCCAACTGAATGCAGCCCAAAAAAGTACAGACCAAGCCCATATTTTTCCCGCCAAACTCAGATGCCTTCCCGCCATACGTATACTTATCATCTCACTTTTGCCGCCAAACCCCTTCCATTTCTCTCTCTCTCTCTCTCACACAGTTTCTGGCTGAGGATTTACCAATGGCAGAATCAAAGGAAATCTGGAAGAAGCGGAAGGGACCATCCATTCCGACAACCCGTTCCTTAATGGGAAACTTCACTCGTAGCAAATCCCAGACCCATCTTCACCGCAACCAGTCAAGCCAATCCCGACCCGACTCCATCCGCGGCAGCAACCACCAAGATCTGCAACCCTTTGTCAAAAAACCAAAAAATAGCTCACCAGCTGAAGATTCATCGGTGAGTTACTGTTTATCTTCCGTTTCCATCAAAGATCTTCGCTTAAGACGGGTCTTCTCTCCCTCTTCCACTGATGGGGTGATTCCTAATTGTTTGGATGATACTGAGAATCTAAGAAAGAGTGAGGTTGCTGGGAATTGTTTGGTTGGAAATGGGGGTTTTAAGAAGTTGGATATGTTGAATGAGGATTTTGTGCAGTCAACTCCACCCGATGCTGAGATCTTTGGAACCAAACAAGTGGTTGAAAGAAATGGAACTGACTTTCCAGATCAGTTCTTAGAGAAAAAGCCGAATGAAAAGTTTCAGAAACATGATGCATGCACGGAAAAAGGCTTTCATGAGGAGAGAAACGGCTTGAATTATTCAATCAAATCAGTAAGATTTTATTGTGGAGTTTTTCGCTTAATGTAATTTGGTTGATACTTTTGCTATTGGTTTTTTATTTCTATTTTTGGAATTGCCTTCTCAAATTGTATGTTTTTGACCCATTTCCTAAATAAACAAAGAAAAAAAATCCCATTTAGATATAAAAGTAGAAATATTGTCATAGACAGAGAGAAACAATGAATAATTTTGATTTTGTATAAAACAAATATGTTAGAACAATGTTTGGTTTTAGTCATTTGTTCATTTTCAATAAAAAAAAAATAGAAAAAGCAACAAGGGAGCAAACTTTTAAACTTTATTTGTTTTCCTCTATGCAATTCTATATGTTAAAATTATGTCCAAGTTGTATAATTTGAATAATCTATGTTTTTGTTTGAGCATAATGTTTTATAATTTTATGCAATGCCTGTACATTTATGGGTTATTTTTGTATGTAATGCCGGGTTGCCTATGTTGTTTCGAGTAGGTTCTTAAACCATGTTCTCGTGTGAAGCTTTTCAAAACGCCAGGCTCATTCAGCTACAGAAGATTGCTTCCTTATTTGATGGATATCAAAAATGATTATTCTCGTAATTTCTCCACTCTTTTTCTCTTTGCTTTTCTCTCTTAAAGTTTGGTTCCACAGAGGTGACAAAGTGGCAAGTGTAGTTAAATCTATGATATTAAAACTTTTTGTATATGATCTTTACAGGTTCCCCAGTAATGGGTCATTATCAAAAAACTGAGAAGGGTTTGGAAGAGAAGGAATTGTTGGCTTCAATTGGACAAGAAACATTGGCAGATAAATCTATGAAAACCGGCTGCAAACTGGAGGGCCATAACAGTGATTCTGGTAAGGATTTGAACATGGTATCATTTGAGTCCCTCACCTCACAGGAGAATGAGTCTTCCTCAACGCCACTTGTTAATGGAGAAATTCAGAAACTTGAGCTGCAAGTTTCTTGTGAAGACCCGAACTTGAATTGCTTGAAACATTATTCATCGTCAACTATAGAGGATTCTCATTTCAACAAGGAAAATTTAGCTGCTGTGGTTTCTAGTGAAAAAATGTTGACAGATGACAGTGAGGTTGTAAAAACTAATGTTCAATCTCCTTGCAATGCTAATCTAAAAGTTTTGGATCAGACTTTGTCTACGATTAGCAATAAGCGTGAATGTTGTAATTATGATGAAGTTCCACTAAATTCTAATGATGACACAAAGCAGTCTGAGATTCAAGGGATGCCAAAAGCCATCATTTGTCATTCTTTTGAAGTTCAGCAACTGAATTCTGTGGGTCCTACTTTGTCTAAAATGGGAGGAAACAGAAATTGCAGCTTACAGCAGGGAGTTGACAATGATGGTGAAGTCGTGGAACAAGTTCAAGACTTGAATGGAGAACATATGTCAATGACACCACCAGATTCTGATATGTTTTCTAAATCTGATACTGATGATAGCAGAGGCAATAAAGTGGACTATGTTTCACAAGGCATAGATCACATTATTCAAAAGTCAACAGATGAAACCTTTTGCAGAAACAATGGTCAAGGTAGTGATAAAAGCCTAGACTCAAGTCCTAAGAACAAGCTGGTAAGATGCTATCAACCTTCCAGTATTTTCCCTCGTGTTAGCCTATTTGCACATTGTGTATTCGCTAAACCTATACGTGCATGTGCAAATACAATAATTAATGATGAAACTGTAAAGACATTTCATGCTAAGTACTTGGGCTTGTCATGTTGAATAGGTTCCAAACCCACGCTTGCATCTGAAGTTATCCAAAATTCCTGGCTCATTCAGCTATAGAAGATTACTTCCGTTTTTGATAGACATAACAAATGATTACTCCTGTGAGTCCTGCTTCATTTCCTTGGCTATCTCCCCCACTCCTCACCCGATTCTTCCTTTCATGCAATTCTTTGCTTTTAGAATTAATTTGGAGCCTAATATTTGTAACCTTTTTCTTGGATGCTTTACCAGGTGCTTCTGGATATGACCAGTCACCGAAAGTTGAGAATAGTTCCAAAGAACAGCTGCTTTCACCGTGCTTTAATTCTGGTAAAGACACATGCATGGAAACTTTCAATGGCAAAAGTTGTCCTGTAGAGCATTATACTGGTGATGGTGTTATGCTGCCTGTGGCTGCAGCAACTGCTATAAGATGTTCATCCAACCATAAGCTGACACGATCTCCTTCAAAACAAGTAGCTGATTTCCCAACGGTAATGGATTCACAACAGGAACAGGGATCACTTGTTAAACATGCTGCATTGGATACAAATCAGAAGTTAGAAACTAGCCCCGAAGATGTTGTTGAGCCACCAGCCAAGTCGTCCAGCTCTCTCACCGATACTGTATTATTGCCGAGTGAAGGTGCTAAATCGGTGCCGTATCAGTTACCTCTTGAAACGGAAGAGGACTGCATAAAGTCTATTGTGAAATGCGCAAAATTTGAAAAGCAAATTAAAGCTGATGGTTTTGTTGAAGCCTCTATTCCTCCAGGAATTCCTGCTGCCGGTCTCAAAAAGGGAATCCTTAAAAGAAATCCACGTGGATGCAGAGGTATTTGTGCTTGTCTGAACTGTTCATCTTTTCGGCTTCATGCAGAGAGGTCATTTGAATTCTCAAGAAATCAGATGCAAGATGCTGAAGAAGTGGCTTTAGATTTGATTAAAGAGCTATCGTACCTACGGACAATGTTGGAAAAATCTTTTGGTGATAAAGATCAGACTAGTATTTTCATCAATCAGGTGAATATGACATGAAATCTTATCCTTCATACTGTGCTCTGCTATCAAATATACGGAGCCAACATGGCAAATTTGATTTCTTTACGAAATGCTTTATGGTTGGTAGTACTAGTTTATAGATTTGCTTGACCCTACTGCATGCTATCTTAATTCAGGCTTACTGAATTTATAGGTTCAGTAACATTTTGTATGCTTGGTGAAAGGGAGAACAGGGAAAATGCATTCTATAGGAATCAAACAAGTTTCGAATTTTATTTCCTTTTTCTTTTCCTGTTTGTCCCACATGACTTGGCTATAATATACAAAATCTGCTGTAACTTTTTCATAACTTGGTTCTTCCACTGACAGCTTATTAGTACTGGAATTTTGGATACTTGTTAAAAGGCTCAAAAAGTATCCTTTTATCAATGATTTAGAACCAGTAAAAATATTTTAAAATAAATCATAGCATCAAATGATGATCATTCTTGCCTGTTAATACTGGAATGCTTTCTGTATTTGTAGTTCCTCTAGATTAAATTACTTATATCATGCTGCATGTCAACACTAGTTCCAGATTTGACATGCTTGAAGCTTATGGGTAAGGTCCATCCACTCATTTTGGAATAGTCATTCTATAGCAGAATATCCAGAAGAAAAGCAGCATAGCATTGTTGGTAATCATGAATTTTACAGACTTATATTTGAATTAATTTATGATGCCTGGTTCCTAAAAATCAATCAAAATCATGTGCAAATACAATAAAAACCCAAAATGGTCGTATGTTTGAGATATTCAGCAATGTTGCACTTGCCATTGTTGCATTAATAATCTTATTGGCTTCTTTACCATATTAGCTACACAGAAATAGTGCAAATATTGAATCCTGCTTCACTGCTATTCATTTACTCGCCATAGATTGACATAATTACAGAAATTTGTGCTAAAGCTGTAATATGCTTCAATTCAGGTTAAAGAAGCATGCAACAAAGCCTATGAAGCTGAGGAACTAGCCAAAATCCGTCTCAGCGAACTGAACTATGATCTAAATATTCACTGCAGAATCCCAGTAAGTATAGTTTGCACTTAGGACTCCATACAAGAGCATCTCTGAACCATATGTTAAACTCCCTCCTTCTCCCATTCCCCCAAGATTCCCTCATGCCAAATTGCTATTGATTCTCAATTATACCTAAATCATTTTAACTCATGCTTGTCCCACAATCTTACCTCATCTTGTTCATGTAGTGTGGGCAGCGACCAACTGTGAGATTTGCCGATCATGTTGAAGAACAAGTCATTCCAATAGCCGACTCATCAAACAAATAGTTTCAAAGAGGAAAATACCGCAATGCGAGCTGCCTGCTGTTCTTTCTTTATGATTGTTGCTGTAGTTTTCTTTGAAGACATCCACTTCCATACCATATAGTTGCTGGTATCAATACTGGAATCGTTGTCCACGTTATAGAAAGTCAAGCGTCCTATTTGAATAAGATTGAAAAATCAGGCCAAGAAAAATTGATTCAATTTCTGGATCTTGAGAAATGTATCTTTTAGGAAAAACTTCTGCATTCTTAAGTATCATTTGTAAGGATTTGCCTTTGTTGTTTTTAAAGCTTGTATAATTATGTAAAACTCCATGTTAGCTAGAGAATGTTATGGCATATATCCAATTTTCTTACGGCCATGGATTGAACTTCAAAATGTAAATGCCGGAAGTTTTTGTACAACTGTATTTCTCTTAATGGGATTGAAAGTGTATTCTCAAATTTTACTTGAACTTAAAATGAAACACAATTTTATGATAGCATTTTACGTGAAAATACAGGGCTTAAGGGAAACAGAGAGATCCTTTCCTTTTCCTCTTCCTCGCATTGTTTTGGTAGTTTTTGTTGGGGCGGTGGGGTTGGCGGCTGAGGCTGAGGTGTGGGAAATGAGGAGAAATTCAAGGTGGTGAATAATAATAATAATAATGGGTTTTTTTTTTGGAGGAATCGAAATGGTCAATTCATCAGAGAAATTGATTGGGAATAACAATAGTTAAAAGACAGATGATCAGTCATGCTCATACCGCACCCTCTTCACGTGTTTGATGGTTATTTCAAGATAATGTTTTTGGATTATAGCGGCAGCTCCCATGGTTTGGCCATGTACAGTTGCTGATTGCTGATGCATCCCCTCAGGAAAGCCTTATCCTTACTTCTATGGGAATAATGGATTCTTTGATACAAGTTCTTTAATTCCACAAGCTTGCCCATAATGTGTACGACCTACCTAGGACACTTGGCATGTAATCTGAGTTTCTTTCTTTTTTTTTTTTTTTCTTTTTAAATGAGCAAATTTGTTATTATTATTATTATTTTACAAACAAGACTATAACTGTACGAAAATAAAGAAATAAATTATGGTATTAAATTTTGAATTTTAAATTTATTAATTATTGTTTATTAAAAATAATTATATAAATTAATTGAAGTAAATTTATTATTTAAATTTGTTAAATTTAATAAGAGTTATTAACTCTTCTTTTTTTTTTTTTTTTTGCTTTTGAAATTTATGTTGAAAATCAAATCCTTTCATTTGTACTATTGTGTTTAGATTACAATTAGAATGTTCAATTTGAGAATAAAGTAGAAGAATTATGATCAAAGTCTAGCATTATCACGGGAGAAAACCTTCTGCCGAGGGAATTACTTTTTGACCATTGTTCTATATCTGCTTTAGGTTGATATCATAGGCTCGTTTCAATATCGAGAAACTATAAATGATTCTCTGTATACTTTCTAGTCATGAAGATTATTCTGACCCTTAATATCCAAGAAAAAAAAAAAAAAGCAATGCAATCTTTGCACACCTATATTCATTAACAAAACAGGAAATTTTATTATGGAAACAGAAATATTTTGGTACAAAAGAGGCCACGGCCTGAGGATAGGAAACAGAATTTACAGCCATCTTCAACCTCACAATATGATTAAAACCAACGAAAGAAAGAATATGAGACCATTAACTATATTACAAAACTCACATTCAGAATTAAACCAACAGATGAGCTTGTTTCCATCTTTCAGAACCTAGGGCGTTTACACTCAGGAGGAACACCTTGAGGGAAACGTTTTAAATCAGTGCAATAATTGTAGATCATGAAATATTTTTGAACCCATCTCAATCTTCTTCTGCCAGGGGCATCGAGCTCATTGGTTTCCCATACACCATCAGAGACTGAGCTTTTAGAAGCACAAGATGAAGCACTTCCAGACCAAGTACAAGCATTGGCATTGAAGTTCCTGTAATATGCTGTGAAGGGTGCCTTTGTCCAATCAGTTTTCACCAATCCACCCCTTGTAGCCCAGTCATCTGCATTCCACAAACTAGAATAAATCCTCATGGGCTGGCTCTTTGGAAAAGGCACACCAATTGATTCGGCATTCTTGAAAACTCTAATGGGAATTTTATCCACCAAGAAACTGACAAGAGAACCAACAAATATCAAATGTTAGAACTACTTTAAGACAACAGACAAAACAGTTACAAGACATTGGTTGGTTGCTCTTACATTATGTGTTGGGGCTTCCAAATAATGGAATAGGTGTGGAAGTTTCTTGTGGGATCAAACCAGAGATAAAATTGCTGCTCTCTGTTGCCTTTGCCTTGAGTGTAGACATTGGTATGCAAAATGTAGGGGTCACCACTAAGATTCCCCAAGAACTCGAAGTCGATCTCATCATGAGTTGGCCCTTGAGAAGACAGCTGCAAAACCGAACAAAAGAATAGTTTTTTACTTGTAAATGAAAGAGAGAAGCTTTTGAAATCGTCTTGAACAAACATATTTTACATGTATGTAATACAAGTTTTTTGACATACCACAATGGAAAAAAAATGGCTTTATGTTTTGGATTTTTCAATAGGCAGGACAATTTTTTTTTCACCCCACCATGGCAATTGGCATGTTAGGAGAAAAGAAAAGTTGATGTTGGACGATGAAAGTGATAAATAGAGATGAAAAAGAGAATGAATTTACCAACAACCAAATGTCGATAGAATTAAAAGCATGTAAAATTACACGTGGATCAGGGTATCTAACCCAAAGTCAAGTGCCTCGTTAGAAAAGGTCACAAGGTAGGGATGGTTCAAAGCACACTAGTAGGCCTATACCGAATTTTTGTGACTTTTTCTTAAATGTGGCAGACAATAATAGTTTCATTCTTGTGAATGAATAGTTTTCCCTTATTTTTTCATAAAAAATCCATCTTCTTCACAGTTGATAGGTGCCATTCACCACTAATAATTCTTAAAGATGTTTTCAAGTAGGCCAGCACTCATCATTCGACTTGCCCACCAAACCTAAAGAGATTATATTATGAAGTTGAAAGGCTAAAAAGTTAAAAAGAATGAAGAAATTAGTAATGTTTTAGTGCTTTTTAACATACATAATACGCAGTTACTGTGCCAGCAGAGTTGCCAGCAACAAGCTTGAGCTGCATATCAATTCTCCCAAACAAATAATCTTTCTTGGACTGAAAACCTGACCCTGAAACCCTGTCCAAAGACAAAGACAAGAGCTTCCCACCATTGAAAATCTTACCCCTGTTTCCACCCCATGTTAAGTCGAAATCCTGGTAGAAGTCACCAGCAAAGGCAACAACTACCAAAGAGTTTACCACCAAGCCAACCAACACAAGCATGGAAACCCCATTACAAGAAGAAACCATTTCTTCTTACCTATGGAAACTAAAGACGAGACGAGACGAGAAAGAGAGAAAACTAGAGAGTTGTTTTGTGAATATTTTGAGTGGGGTTTGAGTTTTCAAAGAGATCAGCTATTTATATAGGAAAGAAAGCTAATTTAGAGAAGAGATTAGGAAAGAAGGAGGGGACAGGGGAAGGTTGTGGGAGTGAGGTAACGCGTGAGGCAATAACTGAAGGAGAGCCAAACCGAAAGCTGGCACCAGCTTAGCATATACAATCAAAGCTGCAACTTGGGAAGCTTTTATTTGAGCCTTTTGGGAAGGGTGATTCTGAAACTCATCTTGGTTTTTAGCAAAAAGTAAATTAAACTATATAAATAAAAAAAATTAAAATTCAAAGCTTAATTTAAATTATTTATATTAGATCTGATAATCTTAAATATTATATAATAATATGATATAAAAATAATATAAATAAAAATATAAAAATAATATGATTTAAAATTTTAATAAAAATTATAAATAAATTTAATAAAATTAAAAATATACATTTTTAATTTTTATGTTAATATTAATTATTATGTATAATTTTTATATAAAATATGATATAAATATATAAATTATTAATATTTTATATTATATAAATATATAAATTATGATATTTAATTCATCTGAATATTAAAAATTAATATTCATCTAATTTAGATTTTAATATTTATAAATTTATTTTTATTTTTAAGATAGGATCTCTTTTGTTAAAAAAATTTATTAAAAAAGGTTTGGATTTGGTTTTTTGTGAGAGAAACTATGTATAATGATGCTGTTCGCATGGATTATAAGGTAGGGGTCCTTTACCATGATTGCTTAAAAACAGGTGGTGGATGACAACTTGATCTGGCATGGGACAGAATAAGTGTTTTAGTAAAGGGACCATCAATTATATGTAATTTTTAGCCATTCAACAGTTGCCATCTGGCTAAATGATATTCGATCCCATTACCTATAGCTTGGGAATTCTTCTCCAATACATTTTTGCTTGATTTAGGTTTATTGGTTTTTTCTTTCAAATTGGGAATAATCTTTGTATAATTATGAGAGTCACGAGAACTCTATGGCTTTGTTGTCAATATGTAGGGCACCTGCATTGTCTTTGACGTTGCTTATTTTATTTGTTTTTATATGTGTCACATTTCAAACTTCTGATATTTTTATCATTATTTAAATCCTCAAAGTAATTAAAATACCAATAAAATAAGTTGAGAAGGAGAAGAAAAATCTTCTCAAGGCCATCAAATCCCATCATTAAGACAATTGTTGACTTGTAAAAAGAGAGTCTGAAAAAATTTGGCAAGTGATGTAAGCTGTAATCATTCATATTGATATGATTAAAAGTAAATTTTAGTAATTTTTTCAATCGAGTGGTTCGTTTGCCACAACAGTAAATTATAATTGTTCTTGTTTTCGAGTATGGTGGTCTCCCTTTGAAGCTATTCAAAATGTAAATTTTGAAAAATACAAGCGAAAAAATTGCTTATTTACGTTTTAATTTGAGGTTGAGGCAATTTATTTACTCTAAATATTAATTTAAAATTAATTAGTAGATTTTTTATGATTAATTGATAGAAGTGGCTAATCAACCAACATTATAAGGACAAATTGGGTTTTGAAATTATAACACAATTGCAGAATAAAATATCTTAGAGCCTATGCAATATTGCTTGAATTCAATGCTTTCCTCGAATCATGGGATATGGTTCCTCAATATTTCCAACGTTATAATTTCTAGGCTTGGAAAAATCTTCAATTTAGGTGCATGGCAGGCTTTGCATGACTTGTATCAGTGTATGCAGAAAAAAGCAGATAGAATTTTAGTTTGGCAACCTGCTTTCCGAATTTTACAGAAATTTTTTTTAAAGAAAGTGTGACGATCATGTGAAGGGATGTCTTGAAAAAATTTTGGAAGTTATG